TTTCTTTAATTTGTAATTTAATACGTTTTTTACCTGAGGCAGACTTCTGAACGGGGTTGTAAACATTTGTTTTTATTAAACTTTTACTTGAAAAGCGTGTAAGATGTAGTGTTATTGGTAATTAAATTATGAAAAGACATAACTTCGAATAACTTTTAGTTCAAAATAATTTCACAAAACAGATTTTAAAGTCACAGGCTTATTTATATTTTAGTTTGAGAGTATAAAATTGTTTATATGTTAAGAATTTATCTGTCTAAGAATTTAATTTTTTGAATGTTTATTGTATATATGACAAGTTAGACACCTGAATGATTTCTAATGACAGAAAAATTATTCTTTTTATTGACATAAGCAATGCATCAATCACACACGAAGAAAATGGTAGTAAAACTCTACAAACTACAATGTAAGAAAGTGATAAAAAGTTTTCATAGTAAACATTTTTCACAAAAATCTGAGAAAATCTATTTTAAAAAAAAATATATAATTATGATTTAATGTTTTAAACGTTATTAATAATTTTAACGGTTTAAATAATGTTTTATAACTATGGTGGACTTTAAAATTGTACTCCATACGTAATTATTTGTCAAGGCATAGGTCATTAATCTGGCCGTGCACGTGATCTTTAAAAAGTGAAGTTAAAAAAAAATACATTTTTTATAACGTAGTTTATTAATATTTACAGTAGACTTTAGGTATATAAAGCAACACAATACAGTTGAGTAAGGTCTGTTTCACACGTACCGGATAAGACTGTCCGACGTCGGATATCCAATTACAAAGTGCATAGAATCATACATTCACACGTTTGTCCGACAGTCAAACACAGGATATCCGGATAAAAATAGTGCAGAGTCACATGACTTCCGGTCACAACTTATATCGAAACGAAATATGTTTGATCGAAATTTAAAGCGGTAAAAAGCCATAAATGGATGGCGCTAGCAAAAGGGTCTAGAATGTCGGTGCGTGAGCTCGGATTGAAGGCTCTCTCTAAATTTCCATTTTTTCGAGAGAGAAAGAGAAATTCTCATAATGTTTCGGGTTTATACAAGTCTTCATAAAATCCCGAATTCGAGCTGCTCTTCTCGGTCGATCAGCGGGGTGTCCTCACGATGAAGATTTACTCGACAATGCAGTTTTCAGGATTCCCGATGAATAGATGAACATTAGAATCCAGTCGAAGAAGAAATATACACCTGGAGTGTATGTACAGTAATTCCTTTTCGACTGCTCTACGAATAACGCGTTGGATTCATTATTATTATAGTCACGAACGAGTCTGGCTTAGCAGAACAGTCTGTATTTTGTACCAGCCACACTTACAAGTTAGTATGATTCACGCTTTATGATTTCTTTGTTAAATCTCTCGAATAACAATGGTTTTGTCAGCTGTTCCACGTTATATGTTTATTTTTCTTTTAAAATTTACTTACGGGAGAATTAACTAGGATTAGTCATTTGTTAGCAATTATCACAGCTTTTAAAACTTTGGTTTTGAAAGATGTCTTTGAAAGAACACTGTCTTTAAATTACTATTATTTACTACAACAAATGTTTCTAAAATTGATATTAGATAACATTAAAAGTTTTAAATATGTAATAATACTGTATAAAATACTATTTACAAACATTTAATAATATATTTAAAGTCTATTCTTAATTAATACACAGTCGGATACCAATTGCGAATTGATTATACAACTTGAGCACTCACAAGAATTATAAAAAATTGGCGCCATTGCAATGAATTTACAACTAAAGGAGCTAATAAAAATCCATTTAGCATAATTCTCACATTAATTTTCATAACAGATGTTTAGATAAACGATTGATTGATTGATTTTACGAACGCGAGATGCCAAAACATTTTACACAGCTTGATTATATAAATAAAATTTCCTGTACAGAACATCGTCTTGTAGTAAATCTATTTAAGTATAGGCTATTCTATTTCCTTTTTTCCAGGAACTGATTACCATGCAAAAATAGTAACATATAAATATTAGATAAACAGTTTAAAAATATAGAAAAATAGAAATAATTTTCGCGGCATGAATTTAGCTTGTGTAATTTTCAAAAGCTTAACTCTTTCCGCCCTGTGGGAACTAAGAGAGCCTTTTTTTGCAAGCCCATTATGGGTTCGGCCAGGCCCACAATGGGGCTGCCGGGTGGTGAGGGACGGAGCCCGACATATCTGTACCAACCACCCCCGAAAAATTTCTGGGGATTATCTAATACAGTACTGTAATTGTATACATTTCTTGTGAAAAAAAACATTTCTTATTCAACGGCCATAAAAATTATTTATATTAATGATGTCTCCAAAGTTCAACGAAGTTTTCGCAGAAAAATAACTTATCAGAAATCGCGGCCGCCGTTTGGTGCGCTGCTCCGCGACGAAAACAAGCTTAAGCAATGGCGTCGTCGAACGGTGCACACTCGGTAAGTAATCCTACAATTTTTTGTTTATAACATAGTTTATACGGATTATTCCCAAAAAAACTTATACGTGTTTTGGAAATGTTGAGTTGTTGAGTCAAATTAGTCTAGAATCGATTAATTTTATGGAAGAAATCCTTTCAAACAGCCGTAGTCCGTAAACTTCACATGTGCCGGGCTGCGATTGGCTCATGTATTTAAGGATTCCTACAACGCGAAATTCTTATAAAGTGGAACATATCTACCGCGTTATAGGGGGGTCGACTGGGTATGATTTTCAACTTTCTTAAATTGGTAGGCTCTCCCGAAACTATTTGAAGTGAAATATCAAAATTATAGTTATGTCACTGGTAATTTTATTATGATTCGAATTTTAATTAAATACATTCTACAGTAAATTAATTAAAATTTAAACATGTTCATAATAAAAAGAATTCGATTTATTCTTTTCTTCGGTTTCTATAACTTAATGAAAATCAGTTACATTTTAATGTACGGTACTTGTACATCAAACATATTTTGACGGTTATCTAATAAATTTATCATATCACAGACATCCTGATTTGAAAGAAACGAGATAAATAATCAGGATGTCTGCGATACCAAACAAAACTTGTCGTGATACATTCAAAGATATCTCCAAAATATTGATATTAAATGCAAAAACGCAAATTCTGTCTCAAAAGACCATAGGAGATCGAAAATTCTTGCTTCCCTATTTGCTCAATTGCATAAGAAAATGAAACTAACTAATATTTTTATGCAGCAATCATATAATTCGAGAAAGGATTCGTGATAAATCGTTTAGAATCACTCATTTTAAAATGTTTCTCGCCGATTCCTTTTAGGAGCTATTTGCTCTCATTAAAAATTATTTTTTTGATAGATTATTCTTTTAAAAATCATAAGGAGGAAATAAATTTTTTTAGTGATGGCAATAGCCTTTTTCACAACAATATCCAACAATTCGAATGCTACAGTTCGGTTGGTAGTTATTTGAGACTATTATACAGCCTTTTTTTAAGATTTAGTTCCATCGCTCCAGTCATAGTGATGTGAATCATTCGACAGACTGTCGAAATCAGCAATAAGCCTTTCGTGAGACCGCTGTTAACAAGCTTATCGTGCATTGTGACAAAGATTTTTCTTCAAGAAAAACAATGTTGAAATAACAGGAAGGAAAATATTGTTGATAAGACATTTTGCGCGTACGATGTCCATTTCCAAAATTTAATTCGATTTATTTTGTTTTATATTAGGAATCGAAATGTTTTTTGGTGACGACGAATGGCCGAGCAGTTAAGGTCCAATTTATACAACTTGCGCAATTTTTAGCTCACCTCCAAACAACGGCCACTTTTATGTTTCTGCCAGTGGCCATTTTTTACTTGCTCTCATGACGGTGTTTTACTTTTTCCCTACGGACTATAAGAATGCTTTTTTTCCAAGTCCATCGTTAGTTCGGCCAGACTTAAAAATACGTACCATCCAGTCACCTTATTATAAGCCAAAACCTGACAATTCAAGTCAGATCAACTTAACAAAAAATTTCTAGGAATTTTCGGCCGACGCGAATTCGTTCCGATTCTACCAGAGCGGCAGACTGACGCATTAACCGATCGATAAATGATTTGTTTGAATAGGGTTTATTTCGTATAAGAAAATTATAATATTTTCCCATTCATTTTAATTTATTCAAACATCGCATATTATTGGCTTTTGTCCACTAATCCAGTATACTGACCAAGATGCAAGATGGCCATGGCGGTAAAGATAACAGTATGCCAATCTGGACAGATTCTTATCTGGATAATCTCAACAATTTCATAAAAGAGTCTTTTCCCCTTCAAACTTTTCGCCCTGTGGGAACTAAGAAGCCTCTTTTAGCAAGCCCATTACGGATTCGGACAGGCCCACAATGGGGCTGCCGGGTGGTGAGGGACGGAACACGACATACCCAGACGTATCACCCCCCGAACAATTCTTGGGGATTTATCTATCCATCCGGATTCGAACCCGTGTCCCTCAGAACGATACGTTAGATATATTGGGTTTCATCCTTCACCATTCATTTCTTCGCCTGCCTATTCATTGGTCGAATTCAACGATGGACATAAGAAAAGATCCGTTCAGAGTCCACAGAACAGGAAACTTTTTAAAAGTCTTTGATTATTTAGGTTAAACGGGAAAAAATAAAAATCAACGCATAACTAATAAAATTACATTAAAATTTATTTAAATCATATAATCTTTTTAAATCACACATTAACAGAGAGTGTTTCTAGGAAAATTAAATATAGATACAAATGTCGATTACAGAAATAAAAATGATATGACGCACGTAGTTATCGAATAATAGAATGACACGATTCGCTTAACCAGCGCCATCTTTTAATAAAATTTTCTTATATATTCTATAATTAATTTAAATTTCTAATTGTAGTTAAAATATACTTTACATAAACAAATCGAAGTATATTAAGACTTGTAGTAATAATAATAATCGAACAGCTCGATATATAAAGTTTTGTTTTTTTTATTTACCAGTAAATTTATTTCATTGATGTGGTTATTGCGTCAGATGTCACTCTTACATTTGGAGTAGCGGAATTTTTGGGTATGGTAATCGTTATATGTCGAATTAGTAAGATTTTATGTAATTATTTAAATATTACTAAATTATGAACGAATTTAAGAAAGAATTAAATTACTTATAATGAGTCGTATTGGTTAACAAATGGATGTGTGCTCGTCGTTTAAATGGATTGTTAACGAAATGGGAGAATTAATTCAGAAGTGGATATTAAATTTTCATGATGTGAGAACGACAAAACTAGTTGCTAGCTTCAGTCTATCCTTTTTTTTCATAAGTTGCCTTATAGGATTTTTTGCAGTAATTCTCATAAGGAATCCTGTCTGGAAATCACCAGCCAAATCCAACAATAAATTGGAAATTAGCCCATATATAGAGAAAAATGTTGTTAAGAAGTCAAATATAAACTTTCTTCCTGATACTAGTGAATTGAGGATATATGATGACGACAAGATTACTCTGGATGGATTACCGGAATTCAGACAGACTAGAAGACATCAAGTTGATTATTCTGCAAATGGTAAGGATAAATTTAGTTAAAATTTATTTAAATTTGTTAAGTGTAAGAGCTATTTGCAAATTGTAACCTTGCCAACAGTATTTGGGACAAAAGTGTGCAAAGTTGTGTGAAATATAAAAATAGTAACAGCTGTTATGTTATCTTTATGTTAATATTTTAGATTTACTTTTTTTCTCTCTGAATTTCTAAGTAAACATTTAAGTTAAGATTATTCCAATGGTTAATTTGAATTATTTCAAACATTAGTTCTTAAATTTCCATAAAATGTATTGTTGATGCTTCCACTCTTCACATACATGTTCAGTAGAAGAATGGAGGGGTGATTTGCAAAATTTATATTTTTGTTTTTGACTGGTGTGGTCAGGTATGAGAGATCAAAAGCAGGGTGAGGCAATTTGGTTCTGTGCAGGGAGGAATAAAGTTGTCCTTTCAAATCAATGTGAAGTGTCTTTTTTGTGGAAGTAGTTACATGTGATTTTCCAGTCTTCCCAACACTGAAGATGCTATTACATATGGTCTTTGAGGTAGATTGTTCATCATATATACGTATGATGAACAATCTGCCTCAATCTGCTATGTGAATCCATACATAGAAGCCAGTCTTCAGAAGAATGACATCCATAAAGCTATCATGTCAAAGAAGCGAGTTTCTGGCATCAGTTGCATATTACATCATCTGTGAATCACCTCTCTGGTTCCAAATTATTCAGGAAATCTACACACTTAGGCCTAAGAAAATGTCAGAACAAGTCATAAATTTTCAATAAGAAAGATTGACAAATTTGACAATCAGTTTAAGACTGGTGATAATATCAATCAACTGGAGATAAGAGATTTGAAATTAGATGAATTATGGGCTAAATTTGATGTCATTCAAATAGAATAGCGTTAATAGAGAGGTTGCGGCCAACGTTTTCAATGCGAAAACATGTACGTCGGATGTTTAGTACCACTTTCCTGTAAGCCTAGAAGTTTGACAATGGTGTTCGATAGTCAGTGCAATCATGCTCAACGTTCCAAACACTATTGTCAAACTTCTAGGCTTACAGGAAAGCGGCACTGAACGTCAGACATACATGTTTTTGTGTTTAAAACTTCGTCCTCAACCTCGCTAATCTCAGAGGAAGAGGAATCAGAAGATGAAGACCAGTTTCGAAACATTATATTTTGATATGGAGTATTTCATAAACAATTTATTTCTCACACCACATTCGAAACACATGCTGACAGAAATGATCATAATATGAATATTGGCACCCAAAATTTAGCTGATCAATCAACTAGTGTTAGGCTACTCCAACTCATCATCCTGATATTCATTGGAAAATATCAAGATTTGATGAGCTTTCATGATACATTTGACACATGAAAATAGTCAGATTCCTCCTATCCAGAAATTATGTTAATTGAAATTATCTCTCAAAGAACCATTCCAGTTAATACAATCTATCACTGCCACCAACAAAAATTATACTTATAACAACTTGGCAACTCTTAATAGAACAATTCCACAACAAACAATACATCAGTAATTCTCATCTAGGGGAACTAATAGAGCAACAGCATTCAAAGGACATTATAACTAATATCTCTCAAATCTCAAACAAAACAGTCTATCTGATCTTGGAAAATCTTGATTCCTGTTTCTACTTGAACATGATCATCGTGTACAGTATATATCATGAATTAAAAATAGATACAATAACAAGATGGAAATGGGAACTATATAAAATTCCCAGTGAACTACTTACACTACAACAATTCTTTAAATTTTTGGGAAATTTTTCTCATATTTTAGAAATTATAATAAATCTAACTTATTGGTGTGCCATGTAACTAAATTTATGGAATGAATTTATGAAAACTAAGTCATGTAACATAGGAGAATTAAGAGTCAGTAGTTGAGGACTAATCCTTCAAAACTCAAAACTTGATTGGAAAATTTCAGATAAAATTTCTATTCCAAAGAGTGAAGGTTCAAAACAGGCAACAATCAATAAGTACACAAGTTTAACTGAAATTGTTAGCAATTTTTTGGGAGGTTGAAGCGATGCCTTTCATTTCTCCCTTTATCTAAGAATGACTAAATGTGAGCAAATCTTTTCTCAGACAACTACACAAGTTAACTTAGGTAGATATATGGTAGGTAATATTTTCAAACTAGGAAACTCCCTAACAGAAGCCAAATTACAGATTAAGGCATTAGAAACTCTACTACAAGTAACTGCATCCTTCAGCAAGAATATGTTACATTCATGATAGAATACAGTAATACCCCGAACTTACGCAATAGATGAGACCGAGCGATAACCATATAAGTCGGGGTATAATTTCGCAATTTGTGTAAAATCCAAGTCAGATGTATGTAAGCTAATAAATGTTCTTGTTAATCTTATCTCGTCTTTTGATTCGTTCAGGTTACAAGAAATCACCACATAGAGTCTCTCAAGTCTCCGTAGATATAACAAATACAGAAATAAATAACACAAAATAAATTGTAGCTATGTGTCGATTCCACACGACACGTCCGAACATGTAAGCTGAACAATAGTGTGGGGGAAGTGAGTAATCGAGAGTTGCGTGGCGCTCAAACAAAAGATGAATCGGCGAGATTTGAAAATCGCGTAACTCCGGGTTCGCGTAAGTCGAGATATTACTGTATGCAATTTTAGGTCACATTATCCTTGTTCCAGACTGGAATGAAGCAGAAACCAATAATAAGAAAACCTTTTATCTTTTAATATCACCTTTTATCTTTTATCTTTTATCTTTCATTCAATAATGAATGAAATAAATTTCATAACAAAGTTGAGTTGTTTCCAATGCACCAATGAAAATTTCTTCAGGTTATTCATTAAATGATACCTTATTGAATCTATTAAGAATAATTTTTTCTTAATCTTTTTTTTTTAACTTTTTATATTTACTAAAGTTAGGTTGAACTAAAAATGTTATTAAAATATATAAATTTTGATAAAACTTTGATAAAAATTCGTAGTTATTGTTTTTACTATCCCAACTTTTCATCTGATGTGAATATTAAAATAACCATGAACTGGCAGTGAAAACTTTAAAACTTGCTTTATGTAATTTTCTTTGTTTCTCACACGTGCATTTTGATCTTCCGATCTTCATCAGTATGTTATTACACATCATAGTACATAATTTTGCCTATAAACAATAAATACTGTCATAGAACTAAGGATACTATAGGTACATAATTTTTTTAAAACAACTTACAGCTGTCTTTTTATAAAATTTCTCCATTCAAGTTCTCATATCTGTGCCATCTACAATCATGTACCATTCTGGTGACAGATTTATACCCATATTTAAATTCAGTAAATTTACATTTTTATCTTTTAATTTTTTCATAATAGCAAAGTGTTCTCTTATTTTAATTTTATTATTTCACTGAATGATATTCACCTCAGATGAAAAGTTGGGAAAGTGGAAAGAATAATTATGAATTTTTATCAAAGTTTTATAAAAATTTATATATTTTAATATAATTTTAAGATACCTTATTAGTTGGTCTCATAGTTCATCCTTAAATTTTAACAGCAAATATTGTAAAAATGTATCCAGCAAATCAAAATTGATTCATATCAAACCTATTAACAAAAAATTCTATGGAGTCTCTGTAGAAAAAGATAATGTTATAAATTATTAACTGTGACTTATGACACTGCCCTAGTACCTTACTTGGTAATGAGATGCTTTAAAACAATCCGCTGAGGATGCAGATTTCTCATGTATTTGATGATTTTTACATTGATGATCAGTTAATTAGAATGGACAGTAAATAATTCAGCTTCTGAGAAAGGAAGGACTTGAATTACACAAATGGGAATCTAATTATTAGACAGTGGACCTATAAGCCCTTAAAAGTGGCATTTTAGGCACTTAAAATAAGCTCTTAAATTGCGTCATTTAGGCTTTATAAACAAAAAATAGGCAGTCAAAATTTGCACAATGAACAATTAACGTACTTATCAGGACGAGGAATTTTTTATTTACCATATGTATTCCAAACAAAAATGCACGTATTCAGAATGATGCAAACACAAATGTAGACAAACAATTTTCTTTACATTTTTTATTCGATCTGTTTCTCATAGTTTGCTTCATAATATATTACAAGCACTTTTTCCAAATTTTCCATAGAAAAGTTACAACGTTTGTCACTGTGGAACACATCTACTGAAGATAACGGACAATATTTCAACCTTGGAAGAAGATGAACTGGGAATTTACTTTCAGTTTTGCTCTTCTTTTCTGCCAAAATATCAGCCACAATAAACAAGCACTGTAATCCAAGTCTCATTTGAAGCACTGCTTTCAACTCTTCACTTTTTTTTTTGCAGCAGTTCCTGGTGCATCACAAAGTTTCTGGTTTGTCCTATTGAGATCAATTTGTTCATATATAGGTTTCCCACTACTTTTGAGAGCAGTAATAGTATCTGCAATGAATGTGAAATAACACTTGATGTACAATACATCAACTTGTTCTGAACATAAATGTCATTCAAAATTTTCTTGGCTTTAGTTACACAAACTGCATTGCCTGCTAAAGTGGCCAGAAGTTTTTTGATATTGAAGAAATGTTCACTGTAGTAGTTAGTACAAAATCTTAGCCATGTATATGCTAAGGATAAAATAGGAATTTGCCTAAAATCTGCTGTCTAAAAATGACAAATAAAGCATCTCTAACGATATATTTGTTAAATAAAACAATTTATTTTAAAATATTTCATATAGTTTTAATTTTATTAATATAAAATTGCATCAGGGGATGTAATTTATTTCTGTTATTATTGCATTATAATTTTTTCAGCTTGGGATATGCATCCACTGGGACTTAAATACTGTATAAGTAATCAATAATAATAAAAAAATGAATTTGTCTGATTGCATTTTCAAGAAAAAATGAAACTTAAGAACTTTAATTTAAGAATTAAAGTAAACTTTGCGAAAAAAAAAGCGAAAAAATAATAAAA